CGCTGTCAAAAGTTCGTCCTGACCCTTAAGGTCTTAGTTACATAAAGATTGCACGATGGCCATCGCCAGACAATTCCCTGTTGCCGGCGTCTTTACCGCTCGTAGTCGAAGGTGATGAGCCATGTCGTCCACTGAACGAAAATGATAGTCGGTCTGCTGGGGCGATACTATCGGTAAGTGTGGCTGTTGATTAAACAGTTTAATACAGCTGAAAAGGTCACTTCGTTCCCGCTGTTTGAGGCCGAGTAATTGTGTCTCCGATGGTAAAACCCAATGGGCTTCTCGCAAGAATACGTAATTGGTCCCGCTCCGACGATGTCGGGAGTTGAGACGATGTCTGTCCTGTTGATCCCGCCGCTTCCACGGGCCCTCCCTCCTGGGTCGAGATTGTCTGGGCCATGGTCTCGCCCGCGTCGGTCTCATTGTCATCAACGCTGGCCAGCACATCAAACCGTGTCGATCCGCGCGACACGGTGAGTGGGCGTTGTCGGCGCTGAGTCAGTACACGGCTTCTTCCTCGGATGGGCACGGTTAGCCATACACCCTTTAGTTTGGGCTTGTAAATTATAGTTGAGACGACCGGGGCCGCCGTAGCTGTTGAAACGCAGCTGGGGGGGGGGGAGGTGAGGAAGTCGCAAGTAAAGAAAATCCTAATGCCGATGCGACCCTATCTTCTGACGTGGGTTGCGGTTGTAAGGGGTTGGTTAAGACGGCAGCCGTATCCTGATGTATACGCCGTATGAGTGAGTTTGATCTTGGCCAGAAATGTAAAAGGTTTGGCCACGTCGTCGAAAGCCACAATTTCTTGTTCAGTTGCCACTAAATAGCCGTCCCCCTCAATTGCTCGGTTGTATAACCACACCGTGCGATAGTGTGACCCAGAGTGCCACACTTGAAGCACTGAAGTTGTCGACCAACCGCTAAATATTTAAAAAAAAACATTTAGCGGTTGGTCGACAACTTCAGTAATACCAAAAAAATCGATCCGTACTATCCCCCATAGAAACTTTGAACATCCAGACAGTCGAAAGGAGAATTTTCAGACGTTAGACGTCCTTATTTTCGGTGTGCAAGTATCAACATTTTCCAGGGAATGAACCCCGGGACTGTGCTTGCTGATGAACGCTGAAATTTCTCGATTTTACGAAGCGTAAGACGTTGTACACACGCACTTCGTACACCATGCTGCGAGGCCGTGAATGAACAAGGACTTTTCTTCTGTCCCAAGCTGACCGCGCGGACCCGGTATGCTTATTGTGTAATTTATACACCATCCGCTTGTACGGTACCGCCGTCAATTGAAAATTCTTTGCTGTTGCACGATCGAAAAAGAAGAGGTGAATCGAGTTGGAAATTTCGTCGTAACATAATGTCTTCATTTTACGTAGGAGATCGTGCAGGCGTTGCAGATTGACGCGTGTGCTCTCGGCCGCCGCCAATATGTCTTCTTTTATGGCCTGCGTGTCGCCGGCTGGTCGGGACTGTCCATTCGACATTGAGGCGGAAGCTGAACTCTCCTTCGACTTGCGCTTGAATAGTGCTGTGTCAACGTAAGAGTTCCAAATGGTTAAAAATATTTGCGAGAAAAGGTGGAAGACGTCTCTCCACGATATCGCCCTCTTCCAACCCTTTTATGATTTTCCATTCATTCTCTGTGCCGTTACGCAACTGCCGCAAGTCCGCTGGACCGCGCTGCCCCACGCAGAGGGCTCGCAGCCGCTCGATCTCCTTGGGATGGTATTTATCCGGATTTAACATGCAGCTCTCATACCTGTCCGCCGCCGCCGGAGAGTGCTGCCCCTTGTTGGAAAAGGTGTCCCCCGTCATCTTTGCCGTCCATTGATTAAGGACCGGGAGCTTGGACCAGCGCACTTTACTGGTTAGGCGCTCCAAGACTGTACTGAGGAATCACGTAGTGAATAGAAGGTCGTGACAGATGCTTGTTGCGTACCTTTCCCATTGGTGGAAGGAGCATTCCACTTTAACGCACGCCTACTCGAAGAAAGTTGTAAACAGGGCACGTTCGGCTGGATGTAACTTCGGGTAACGGACCTTTTGAGGCGCAAGCTGCTCTCGGTTGGCTGGTATTGCGGAGTAGACTTGCGCAAAAAGGTGCGCCAGTGTAACTTGCCACGCCTCGCATAATTTTGCACTCTTAGCGTCCCGAATGTCTTGAATGAGGCCACCATATAATTCCTCGCCAGGAAGCGTAGGTATTTACGAGGCTGGTATAGTAGTGGAAGTGGCCCAGACTCGCCCAGCGGTTGCCTGGGCCGAGACTGGGACTCTGTCCCCTGCTCGAGTGGTAAGGTCCAGTACTACCGACGGCGCCACCGGCGCAGACGCTTGATCGTCCATACTCGCGTCCGCACACATGAGGGGCAGTGGTCGCGGAGCGTGTAGCCGCCCATCGTTTTGCTGCGCCGTGGCTTTAGGTGTTTGAGGTAGGGCTGTCCTTACCGCTCTGGCTGGATCGCCAGGAGCCGTGCCCCCGGGTGGGGGGTCTCCGGGCGGGACGTCCGGCTCCGCCATACCCGGCGAAGAAGAAGGCTCGGTTGGCACGAAACTCGCTGTGGTATCGCCACTACTGGTCGACTGCCTTCGATTGGGCGATTTAAAGAGTGCATGCATGTATGCGTGAAGTTATTTGCCTATCTCATCGTTTTCTATGCATCAACGATCTACCCACGTACTGTATCGGTCAGATCGTCCAATTCACGATATCGATCCAACTAATGAGGTGCCATAATGTACTACAGTAGAACCTGTCTAAAGAAATATCGTTGAGACCGAGGTCAAAGTATTACTTTACGAAGATTATTAATTTAGGCAGGGGCAAAAGATTTAAGGATATTTCAAGTGGGAAAAAATATTGCGATCGGCTTTGTTTAAATTTTTGATTCTTGCTGCAGCCGCCACCCCCAGTCAACCCCCTCACCTATATAAACAGGGAGTCCCCCGTCGTCCCCCCAACTTTTCTCCCTCCGATATGCCTCCGAAAGGCGCTCAGTACACGACAATGACGGACAAGATCCGCATTGCTTTGTGTGAGCACTATGATAAGAATCCTCAGCTCAGCCAGAAGAACCTTATCCAATGGCTAGAACAGAGGCACCAGATGAAAGTCAGTCAGCCTACAATCTCAGGCCTTCTCAAGAGGAAAGCGACAATCTTGGCGAAGGCCGACAACAGCAATCTTGATGCAAAACGTCAAAGGAATGTTAATTATCCTCAGATGAAATCTGCTCTCGTTAAGTGGTTCCTTAGCCATCAGGATCGCGTCAACGTGAGTGGGGATCTTATCAAAGAGAAAGCAGCCCTTTTCTTGACCAACTCTACCCTGAGCATGATGTGTTCGAGTTCTCGAATGGCTGGCTGGAAAACATTTAAAGACCGGCATGGAATCAAGCCCTTTCGCCGTTTTGGAGAGAGTATTCTGTTTACATGACACTCATCGAGAAATCACTCCCTGACATTCGGGATACGCTGGACAAGTACGAGTGGAAAGATTTCTACAACATGGATGAAAGAGGGCTATTCTACAGGCTGCAGGTTCGTTGGTACAAATGTTCTTGTTTGCAACATTTTGTGACACTTTGTGCTTACGTAAAATTATTCACAGGCAGATAATTCGGTGGCAACCAAGCAGATGGAAGGCCGCAAACAAAACGAAGAGCGTATCACCTTGTCAGTGTGCTGCAATGGCAATGGAAGTGACAAGCTGCCGCTATTCGTCATAGAAAAGTCGAAAAGTCCGCGTTGTATAAAAACATCAACCTTGACACCATCGGCTGCAAGTACCGGAACAACAGTAAAGCATGGATGACACAAGCTATCTTCAACGAGTGGCTGAAATCATTTGATGCTCGCATGGCCGGACGCCAAGCTTTTCTAATCATGGATAACTGCAGTGCACATATACCGCTTGCTCGATTTCCTACAGTTACTCGGTTGCGCAATACCACGGGTTTTTGCCTTCCACCAATAACGACATCGAAACTCCAGCCGTGCGACGCAGGCATAATCAGGAATTTGAAGGCCTATTATCGCAGGCGCTGTAATCGCTTGCTCCTTCAGCGCCTCGAGCAAAATGTGGAAGATCCGGAGAAAATTGATGTTCTTCGGGCCATTCGGATGGCGGTTGCAGCTTGGAACTCAGATGTCAAGGCCGAAACAATTTCGAATTGCTTCCTCCATTGCAAGATTCGCACGGTTGCTTTGGGAACCCCTGAACTTACTGCACAGCAGCTGGTCGACAATGAGGTCATAGAAGATCTTCAATTGCAAATCCGTCAGTTGCGGTACCAGAACCCAATGGACATCGAAGTCTTTCTTAACTACCCTGCTGAGGAGGAGGTCGCCTACACACCAGATGAAGATGAGATCATTGCTGAGCACCTTCGATCTAATCAAGTGGAGGAACAGGAAGATGACACGGAAAAGCTTCCTCGTGTCATGTCATCTCAGGCACTCGATGCCACGCAGACGCTTGAATACTTTTGGATGCAGCAGCCAGACCTGAACCAGGACTTCCTTATAAGCCTCCAGCAAATGAAGAACAATTTTGGGAAGATCGGGACTAACCGACTGGTGCAGAAGCCAATCTTAAAATTCTTTCCCAAGGCCAATTAACTGCTTTGCACTAAATTTCAAAGTCCTCGATATAGTGAGTATTACTTTAAAAACAGTTTGGGACCAGCCTTTGACTATCAAGTATTAGTTTAGGTAGGTTTATTACATTTAATATGATCCCAAGTCGGGACCAGAAAAGAATATTACCTTGGGCAGGCTATTACATTAGGCAGTATTACGTTAGACAGGTTCTACTGTACTTCACACACTCGACGTAAAAACGTCCTGCGACACATACTTTCCACCAATGATCGGCGTGTCCGACTTGCACTGTCAGTGCTATTCCCAATAGCCCACTCGCCAGTCGTTCGCCGCCGCCGCCGCCGACGTCATCCGCGTGACCCCACGACGACGCGGACGCTGTCGCGATGGCCGACGCGCAGCTCTACGAGCAGATGCTGCTGGCTCTGCACGTGAGCCACTCGCCACAGTCGTCTCCGGGCGACCGCACTGCTGCCTACGCGTTCTGCGAGACGTTCAAGCGCCGTCCCGACTGCGCCCTGTATGCTATGGCTCTGTACCGCAATCCGGGTACACTGGACCGAACCGAGCGCGCTCGACGGCAGCACTTTGCTCTGCACGTGCTGGAGCACCACGTGCTGACGCAATGGGACGCACTGTCACTGGCGAAGCAGAAGGAGGTGCGCGTTGAGCTCGTTGAGCTGCTGCTCGGGGCGCCATTGCCGTTGGCTGTTGCTGGTTCAGCAGATGTCGATGACCCCGTCTATGTCCGTGAGAAGAAAGTAGCGCTGTTGGCGGAAATCGTGAAACGGCAGTTTCCGCAACGCTGGCCAGCGTTACTTCACGAGCTGCTGGCAAAGTGGCAGTCCGGCGCAAGCGCCCGAGTCGAGCTGATGCTGCTACTTTTGCGATCGCTGGCCGAAGATTGCGTCAGTAGCTCATTTAATACGTCGATTCCACCGACGAGACGGAACGAGATATTGCAAGGACTGCATGCCGGGCTGCCCGAGCTATTGCCACGCGTGTACCACGAGCTGGTGCAGCAGTATACAGTGTACAAGTCGTTGACGGCAACGGATGAGCAGCGAAAGACGAGTCAGCGGCTCATCCATGCCGTGTTGGGCTTACTGAGAGAGTTTCTTGAGTGGATACCGCTGGATCGACCGGTAGAGCCATCGACGAATTTTATTTTCGTGGCCGTGATGTTGCTGGAGGATCTCGAGTTTCGACTGGCAAGTGCCGAGTGTTTGGAAGTGTACATGACGCGGACATTTGGCAGAGAGAATCGAGCTGTGATGTTGCAAAGCATTGGTCAGATCATTGAGAAAGTCGAGACACTGGATTTGACGACACTGGAGCCCGAGGTTGAGGCCAATTTACGCTTTCACAAGAAGGTGAACGACGTGTTGGTTGCGTGGGGAACGTGTCAATTGGAAGTACTGCTGTTGGTGGAGGATGGACGTGGTGAGCCTGAAATGGCGTTGTTGCGGCTGATTTTGAAGAATCTGTGCAAGTTGTTTGCTCATCCGAGTCTGATCTTGACCGAAACTCAGATACTCTTGTGGCTTACAGTGCTGAAGAACAGGACAATTTTGAAGCAAGGCGAAGCGTTGCTAGCCGACATTTTGGAACAGCTGCGACAGGTCTCGTTCGACAAATACTTCAAGTTGGGCTCGCCGGAGCGCGAGAGCCCCGGGTCTTATGTGATTGCTTGTGTTTGCAGTAGAGAAGAGTTTGACGACCACGACGAGTACATTGCGTTCTACGGTAATTTTCGTGGGCGTCTATATGCGTTGATTCGCGTGCTAGTCCAGCTAGATCCGACCGTTGCATTGCGATCGCTGCACGATCGTTTGGCAATTGTGCTGACACAGTATGCTACTGGAACGGACCACTTGGACGTCGATCGCGGCTACTGCACTGATCTCAGTACTACCTACTTGTACCACGAGGGAATCTCATCATTAATCGATTGCATCGTAAAGCAACTCCCTCCGAACGCGATGCAAAACCCCGCGAATTACCAGATCTTGCAGAGGATTTTGCAGTCGATTTTGTCGTTTGACACCCCTGATCCGCTTCTTAAATATCGCCAGCTACTAGTGCTAGCGTCGTTTGCAAAGTATTACGTGCTTGATGGTAGCATGCTTACCGTGGTATTCGAAAAGCTCTTTGCAAATATCGACTTCGTGATGTCTGGCGAGGACGTGCACGGTAAGATGAGCAGTGGCACCATGAATGTTCGGCGACGTGCTCTCTCGTCACTTGTTACGATTTGCCAGGCAATCCCTGCCCATATTTTGCCTGTACTCCCTGTGCTGTGCACTAAAGCACGGGAGCTGTTTGCTGCCGGTCGTGTGACAGACACAGAAGGTGTGATGCTGTACGAGATGCTGGTGCTGGTCTCGAACTCGATGGAGAATCGAGACGAACGTGTGCAGTTTGTGCAACAGATTGTGCAAGATCCGCTTACCCAGTGGACATCTGCAGAAATGACTGATCTTGTAAGCTCCCCGCAGAGCATTGGCACCGCTATCGAAGCGGCTACGAATGACGACAAGACGAAGAAACAGCTCAGAATGATTATAAAGACACTTACGACATTATATGGTATCGCAAAAAGGTCAGGGGCAATGTCGTTGCCGCGTACGGCGGAAGGCGCGGGAGCGTTCGACGGTGCGTGGCCGCATTTACTTCCGAACTTGCTAGCTTTGGTGCGATCGCTTCATGGTTTGCAGGAGCCAGTTGTAAAAGAAGTAGTGCTGAAGACCACTACTGCTTGCTGGTTGTTGAGTGTTTCCTTGGATGAAGTTGCTCAGCTTCTTGGAGGAAAAATCCATCTAGAAGACGAAATGATCATGAAGTTGCCCGCTGCTTCTAGATGGTCGAAGTGGCACAAGAATGCGCGCGACATTTCGTACCATTTGATGGGCGTCGCTGTTGCTCAGCATAGCTTTTACCAAAATCCCCAGGCTGCTTCCGCCTTGCAGAGCAGTATGCTCAGCAATCTGGACTTGATGGAGCACCGCCACCTGAAGGGCGCTCTAGCGTATGTGTATTTACCTTTCCTCAAGAACTGCCCGAGAGAGCTGTACCCGTCGCTTCTGAACTCAGTGCTTGCAGCTTTGTTTGATCATTTCGCACAGCGCGCTGCACTGATCTTCCAGCATCCAGCAAATGGTCCGTGGAATGCGTTGATTATCGGAATCGATAGCGCCAAGCAGGAGATTGCGCAGGAGAAGATGGTGATGGAGCTCACGCGTGAATTCGTTGATTTCGTAGAGTACGCGATCGATCCCAAAACAGTCGTGGGAACCGATACGGACAACCCGAAGCATATCACTAGTCCAGAAGACGCCTTGCTGCGCGATTACATTCTGACACAATCGCCTTCCCTGCCGTTTTCGATTGGCGCGATTTTGATCCAGGTGATCTGCTGGAAGGACACACTGAGCTGCCGAAAAGCAGTGGCACTCGGTGACAAGCTCGTGAACGCATTGCATGCTGACGCAAAGTACCATGCTCTCCTCGGTCGCGGCATATTTTCCGCAGCACTGCAGGGCATTTTGACGGAGCATGTTGGTCATGTGAAGGAAGACGGCCTCAAGTGGGAAATCATCAATCTTGTGCGTAACATCTACTGCCGACTAGCGCTGGGCTTGACTCCCGTGGAGGAGTGTAAGGGAATCGACCCGTGCAACCAGCCACTTCGACCCGCGTCGTCGCTTTGTGCAGCTCCACGCGAGATTTTGCTATCTCTTCCCGACGTTGAGCCTGCCCAGGTGGACGCGCTGGACGCATTGATGCGTGAAAAGCATAGTACGAAGACACAGAAGAACGCGTTCAAGGAGCTTTTGGAGATGCCGATACTGGCGTTCCGGCGCGACCAAGCCCTGGCAGCCGGATCGACGTCGCCGTTGGCAGGGGTTCCAGGTACTTCAAATGAATCGGTCAAGCGAATTCTAGACCTCCCGGAAAAGCTGGTGATACCCAGCAAAGATGTCAAAGCACATGCGAAGTGGCAGCGAGCGCAGAACACGAATCTAGACACGCATTCTCTTTTCGGAGCCCAGTGGAGCGGGGACAGTACGTTATAGCAGGAATGGAGGCAAGCAGTCGGCTCGACTACGTAGCGACGGGAAAAGCAGAACTGTTGGCGTACTTGCTAGTAACTCGAGGCAAACTCTTGCAATCTATCGATCAATCCCGATTAACCGCTTTCCTCTTGGTACGCCATGACTTTGTCGCCCAGAGCTAAGCCGTACCTTTCGTTGAAGGCAGCAATGTCGTGCACGTCGTCTCCTGTGCGGCAGAAGTAGAGCTTGCGTTCGAGATGGTACATGAGCGTGGGACTAATGTAGTGGAAAGCGACGCTATCGGGCGCTGTGCTGCCTTCTTTCCACCGTACGCCACCAAGATGCTGATGGTATTGCACGTACCAGTAGTCCACTCGACTCGGGTCGGTGAAAAAAACGCCCCTCGGTCGATCCGCATGCCATCGCTCTCGTCCCTGGTGGTCGCGCGTGTCCCACGGAAAGACATTGTGCCACATCATGCAGAACGAAATGGATGCATCGTCCGGCAGCATTTCGCTGTGTCGATCCGACAAGCACGTCCAGTCGGGCAAAATGTGTACAATCTTGTCCAAGTAGAGTCGATTCATGGCATACCCTGGTCCCCCCGAGTTGAACACCCATCGATCCCATCTCGTTCTCCAGATAGCTTCCAGCGCGTCGTCGACAATGTAGTAGCTCACGAGCTCTTGCGTCAAGTTAAACCGGTGGCCCAGTTGCATTGGCGCTCGCGCATACGTCTGCATGATCTCTGGTCGGGTCACGTACTGCCTCAAGTTGTCGACAATGACGTACGCGTCGTCGTCGGCCTTGTAGAACCAGTCGAACTCGTGTCGAAAGTGCTCGTGCACGTACCGAAGTGTCGCCCGGTGTTTTTGCCACAAGTGGTTATGATCGGCGATCGCGTCGATCGCAATGACGTCGAAGCGCCGTTCGAGGGCTGTGTATGCACGAACGACGATCGTGTCGGTCACGTTACTGAAGAACACGAGCTTGTCACAGCGCTGGCCCCACGTGTCGGCAACCGCCTGAGCTCGCGTCGTGTGGTGCACTGAAATCGTGTTGACAAAGCAGAACAGTGTCGGGAATGCTCGCAAAGGGACCGACTGCTGTGCACGAGACGGCGCGAGTGGGACCTGCACGAGATCGAGTGCATGACGAGAGTCGTCAATGTCGAGAGCACAGAGATTTGTTTTGGTGAGAGCGAGACGTGGGGCGGCTGGAGGCGTTTCGTGGTCGGCAAAATTGCTCGTTGAGGCTGAAGAGGAGACGAAGGTGGTGAGCTGGAGCAAGCAAAGCAAAAGGGGAAGGACAGAAGCCGCGGGACGACGTCGGGCGAAAGGGGACGACGGTTGTCGATGCAGTAGAAGTAGCAGTTGTTGTTGTTGTTGTTGTACATGTCGTGGACGGGAAGGGGCGCGGAGGTTGTGGCGATGGGTGGACGGCATAGCGAGCGAATGATCGACTGACTATTTCGGCGTCTAAGAGCTGTGTAGAAATGGCTGAGCCAAGTGCTTGTGAGGCGGCTGTGGGTTCTATTTTGGTGGGCTTGAAAATGCCACACGTGTTTTTGGGTAAAAGAGACTTTGATGGGCTCAGACGTCTCTCGTGCACGATCCATCCGACAAGATGTTGGGCGAACTGTGGTGTTTCGATGTAGGATCAAGACTCGTCTGACGTTGCGCTTCGACGAGCTCTTGAGGTGGACGAAACCTTGCACTGCTTATCGCCATGAATGTGGCGGCATTGCTCGATAGTATCGTGCCCCTTACAGGCACTTGGGTATACGCAGGTATACTGTCGCTCCTGTTGCTTCACCATGCGCGTGCTACGCTCGAACGTCTGCGTCGTTGTTGCGTTGTCGAAACTCTTGAGATCGTGTGCCTCTGTACGTGCATTTCGGGAAGTGAAGGAAAAACGACCAGTCCATGTCGTGGCGTTCTAGATCGCTCATGAACTCTGCCAACCCGACCACCGAAAAGAGTGGCCACTATAACGTTTCTTGCTAGAATAGCGCCCTTTGATAGCGCGTGTGTTGCGCCGCGAAATGACTGGCATCGCCATCACTCGGACAGAGACGTCAACGTTCTTGTCTGGACAAGATACTAGCGCTCCAGTTCGGCCAGTCATTGCCGTCGAACAAACGCCAGTGCGAACAATTTATCACGTACAGGTCGGATTGTACGTGATAAACTGTTGTGAATGACGGTAGTAGCATTCATCGCATGGTAGAATCGACGCTTCGATTCGGGTTGCGGGTTCGTTGTACGAGTCACAAGCATGTCGAGATCGAAAGCGGCGCTGCAGCGAAGTGTCGATGTGGCTACCGCGCCGACTAGTATGCAAAAGTGGATCGTCATTGCTCATCTTACCCATTCGAGGTGCTTATCTCAAAGTTCGATCGAGCTGTCCGTTGGGCATCGTACACAGGGAGTCTCTTCGTTAGAATCGGGAGTGCAAGTGGCATTTACCACCCCTCATTCGGATCATCCGGACGACCGGTAGCATCATTCGTACAGCACGCACATATTCTTTTGACTTGTCGGCCCCCTTTTACCGGTCTTGCGAGTCTGTAAGGCCCACGCTGGCCGTGTGGCACACTGGAAGCAGTCAGCAGTGCGTTGACTGCGAAAACGACAGTTGTGAAGGCGAGTACAACGGCGCTTGCGTTTGTACACGAAGTGTAGAGAAGAAAATGCCTCGAAAGCAAGGCCGGATCTCAGGAAGGGGACATCACGGGCTCAGCGTACTACACCAGACAGCAGACATCGACTAGCGGCTTTTTGCTTGTCTGTACGCCGTAGGTAGCCAGCAGACATTTGTACAACACTCTCTTGCCAAGTCGGGCTCATCAACTGCCGTTGAATCATTGTCGACGTGCAAACCAGCACACTTCGCCACGTTGGTGGATGTACGACACGTCGAGGCTGAGATGAATGATCGACTAGACTGTGTACACGCCCAATGTGATCATAGATTCGAACCCGCAAGCCAGCTTGCGATTAGGATCCAGACAGATATTCAGGTCACTTCTAGTCTTGCTTCATACATATACGACCATTCCACATCAAACTTGACAAGAAATAAGTAAGCAACCACATCGACGACAAACCTGACACTTCTCGATACATGTCCATTAAGAACGGTAGCTACGGCCTGCATCACATCAAGCTACAACAGCATCGACAACAACACGTGTGCTCACTGACTACAGGTCGTCGCCGTTTCCGACAGTTTGACCAGACATACCACCACCAAAGGCACCAGCTGAGCCGAATCGGGTGCCTTGAGCACCAAACCCTCCAGCTCCGCCATTCATCCCGCCGTTCATCCCGCCGTTCATCCCGCCGTTCATCCCGCCGTTCATCCCACGAGGGCCATCGAAGCCGTTCGTATCGCCGTTGCCACCCGGACGCCCGCCGAAGCCGCCCATGCCACCACCAAATGGACGACCGAGACCCTGTTGACCGATGCCTCCTCCCATTCCGCCGAATTGCCCTCCGCCGATCCCATTGGCGCCTGGGAACCCGCCAGCACCTGCAGCTCCAGGTCCGATGGCACCAGTACCAGCATTCGCACCAGCTCCGAGCCCACCATTACCTGCTCTGCCGAGAGCCGCACCAGCACCCGCGCCGTTGTTCCGTCCACCTGCTGGCACCGTTGGCGCGGGAGTCGCAGGACCCCCATTGTCAAGTCTTCCGTTGTCTGGTCCATCTGCGTCGCCAATTGCGTTGCCAGCTCCAGCTCCAGCACCTCCAGCGCCATTCATGAATCCGGTCGTGGTTCTACCACCCTGGCCGAGTGCAGCACCGTTGCCTCCTGCTCCGACGCCAAACTGATTGCCACCGCCGAACCCACCCGGCTGTCCGAAACCACCACCGCCGCCACCTGGACCGCCCATTCCGCCACCGAACCCGTTGCCGCCTCCGTTGAGACCGCCCATTCCGCCACCGAACCCGTTGCCGCCTCCGTTCAGGCCGCCTATTCCACCACCAAACCCGTTGCCACCTCCGTTCAGACCGCCCATTCCACCACCGAACCCGTTGCCATTGCCCGCGCCGAATTGCTCACGGCCACGCGCCTCTGGACCTGTACGCACAGGACCGCGAGGTCTCTGCGCAAAGACACTGCAACGGACAAAAGCCAGCACCGTCATCGCCAGTGCTAGACGAGTTGCCATGTCGGTCGAAGCGATTGCGATCGGAGAGATACGTGCAGAGTAGTTGTTGGAACGAGCTGGGAAATCTGAAAGTGAGAGTCAACGGCGTTTGGAGTTGGCATACGATGCTGGCGACTTGTCCGTACACGAAGAATGGACCCACCGTAAAGCTTGTTCAATCTTTCACTCTGATGCCATCGCGTCTTCTCCCTCTTCACGCGTAGTCTCTTCTTGCGCATCAGTGTCAAAACCAGTGGATCGGTATTCACCACGACGCTTCTGATGGGAGAGTCAAGATCAGGGGCAGGCAGGACCCGAATCCGTACACATCATCGTTGCGTTCTCGGTCACATGAGACAGTCCAGCATGGCGGATTGACCCTGTGCGTGCGCTGGTGGCCCTTTTTCGATTAGCCGGTGATGGATCGATTGGAAGAGTCGTTGTTGTTGTGTGTCTTGATCGTGGTCTGCCTGCAAAGTGTGGATTGCATCGATTGGGTCCTCCTTTTCAGCACGTAAGTCACATCTTGCAGAGTCACGCACGAACCAAATGTGACCCGTAACAGGATACTACTGGTCATGCCTGGTTCGTGGGGTCGTAGGTTGGGAGTAGAAATGAACGTGAGTCAAAATTTACCAGCTTTTTTGGGTTTGGTATGAATGATGTACATGTATAGGTTCATGATGTGTAGAGATGAGTCATTGTGTCATATGACCAAGTTTGCTTGTACCTTTCACCAAGGTCTTACTTACCACGAGTGCAATCAATATGCTAGCGGAGAGCTACAACGTGTGACCCGCAGCAGAGATAAAGGGACACTCATCAGTCCGTGAGCACTCTATATGCGTTCGTAAAAGACAGCTGAGATTGAGAAAATCTCGTCGATCGATGCGACGATACGAGTTTAGAGCATCGGCAATCATATCTGCGATAACATTGCGAGTTAAGACCAAGTGGACTCTGACTTCGATAGTTTCGACCTTTGATCTTCATGAACAATGCGTTGAAGTCAGATGGCAACTCAGGGCACTTATCAGTTACAGTCCGGGAGCCTCGCTACACTGCGGCAACAACACTGGGACGACGGCTCATGTCTTACTCGGTTGTCGCAAAACTTGCTAGGTGCAATACGATGGCTTTCTTGGTGACTAGTTTTGTCATCTCGTGACTGTTGTGTTGACGAGACGTTTGATCGATCTCTGCATGTCACGAACACGGCATTGCAACATTTGCTTTACTTTATGTAGTAGACGTTTCGCTCAGCATACAGACCAAGCAACCCACATGTACGATGGACGAGAAAGCTACGACGCCATGGCACCGTGCAACCGTGCCAGTTTTCCGACGTAGATACCATTAAGTTGCCCATGCACCAGTCACCGCCAAAGCTTACATCGTGAACACTGTTGTATAACAGCGTGGTAACTTGATGTGAACTTCATTCGAAATGTAAGCAATAGCCTGATCACCGACCACACATGCACAATGTCTGACATGAGTCAACGTTCGTTATTTGTCTTACGTTCATTTCTACTGCATGCCACGGCCAAACATGGCTCATTGAGGCTATCCAACTTCGTGACGAATACACCCTTCCTGACTCCTGTATTGTGTTAACAACTCCACGAACCAGGCATGACCAGTAGTATCCTGTTACGGGTCACATTTGGTTCGTGCGTGACTCTGCAAGATGTGACTTACGTGCTGAAAAGGAGGACCCAATCGATGCAATCCACACTTTGCAGGCAGACCACGATCAAGACACACAACAACAACGACTCTTCCAATCGATCCATCACCGGCTAATCGAAAAAGGGCCACCAGCGCACGCACAGGGTCAATCCGCCATGCTGGACTGTCTCATGTGACCGAGAACGCAACGATGATGTGTACGGATTCGGGTCCTGCCTGCCCCTGATCTTGACTCTCCCATCAGAAGCGTCGTGGTGAATACCGATCCACTGGTTTTGACACTGATGCGCAAGAAGAGACTACGCGTGAAGAGGGAGAAGACGCGATGGCATCAGAGTGAAAGATTGAACAAGCTTTACGGTGGGTCCATTCTTCGTGTACGGACAAGTCGCCAGCATCGTATGCCAACTCCAAACGCCGTTGACTCTCACTTTCAGATTTCCCAGCTCGTTCCAACAACTACTCTGCACGTATCTCTCCGATCGCAATCGCTTCGACCGACATGGCAACTCGTCTAGCACTGGCGATGACGGTGCTGGCTTTTGTCCGTTGCAGTGTCTTTGCGCAGAGACCTCGCGGTCCTGTGCGTACAGGTCCAGAGGCGCGTGGCCGTGAGCAATTCGGCGCGGGCAATGGCAACGGGTTCGGTGGTGGAATGGGCGGTCTGAACGGAGGTGGCAACGGGTTTGGTGGTGGAATAGGCGGCCTGAACGGAGGCGGCAACGGGTTCGGTGGCGGAATGGGCGGTCTCAACGGAGGCGGCAACGGGTTCGGTGGCGGAATGGGCGGTCCAGGTGGCGGCGGTGGTGGTTTCGGACAGCCGGGTGGGTTCGGCGGTGGCAATCAGTTTGGCGTCGGAGCAGGAGGCAACGGTGCTGCACTCGGCCAGGGTGGTAGAACCACGACCGGATTCATGAATGGCGCTGGAGGTGCTGGAGCTGGAGCTGGCAACGCAATTGGCGACGCAGATGGACCAGACAACGGAAGACTTGACAATGGGGGTCCTGCGACTCCCGCGCCAACGGTGCCAGCAGGTGGACGGAACAACGGCGCGGGTGCTGGTGCGGCTCCCGGTAGAGCAGGTAATGGTGGGCTCGGAGCTGGTGCGAATGCTGGTACTGGTGCCATCGGACCTGGAGCTGCAGGTGCTGGCGGGTTCCCAGGCGCCAATGGGATCGGCGGAGGGCAATTCGGCGGAATGGGAGGAGGCATCGGTCAACAGGGTCTCAATCGTCCATTTGGTGGTGGCATGGGCGGCTTCGGCGGGCGTCCGGGTGGCAACGGCGATACGAACGGCTTCGATGGCCCTCGTGGGATGAACGGCGGGATGAACGGCGGGATGAACGGCGGGATGAACGGCGGGATGAATGGCGGAGCTGGAGGGTTTGGTGCTCAAGGCACCCGATTCGGCGCAGCCGGTGCCTTTGGTGGTGGTGTGTCTGGTCAAACTGTCGGAAACGGCGACGACCTGTAGTAAGTGAGCACACGTGTTGTTGTCTATGCTGTTGTAGCTTGATGTGATGCAGGCCGTAGCTACTAATCCCTTTTAATTCTTGACGATCGCGATTCTTGGAAGTCATCATGCAATAAAGTGAACTACATGTGAGCAACTTGATTTGTAGGAGATACATTGATCGAGTGTCGTTCGTGTTGCCATCTCGACCCAGAGTTGGTAGGACATACCTCACTCACGCTTTACCGGCGGTACAAATTCACGGTGCACTCAACTCGTAGCACTTCATAAAGCAGTTGTAGACGCATTACCAAAAGCACGGCTTCGATCAGTCGCAAGTGAAAGCATATCAATAGCCGAACGTATCCGTCAGCTTCGGTGACACTGATGCTGATGGCATCGCGTGACGTTATGCGATTGTACTGCGCTGCACTCCCAGCAATTTGCTTACGTTTCTCGGAAACTGTGTCTAAAGCGGAAGCCCGCATAAATGCAATTTAGTCATGGTCAGAGCACGATTCAATATGATGAAGGCCATAAGATTTTAAGCCCTGGTCGTTCATTGCACCTTCCAGATCAATCGCGACTTCGATGCAGCTCACACGTGGTCGACTGGTTGTAATGATGGTCGAAGAGTGACGCATTGCTGCTTTGAGGCACGAAGAATGCTGCGTGTGACATGCAGCACACGAAATGCTCGGACAGTCTGAGCGTTGCTAATGCTGGATTTGTCTCGATGCGAACACTGACGCGGCAGGGAGACGTATCAGCATGGCGGTGTGACAGTTTTTATAACATCGGGATTGTCGCATCATGTATTCACTCGAGAAAACCATTGTGCCTTCGATGTGTAGACAGTCTTGATATGCTGCACACAATCACAGGACTCTGGCCAGCAATGCGATGAGCGTCGCCATGCTTGGAGTCTCTTGGGCACAGGCATAGATGACAAGTATCCAGGCGGCCAAGATGCGTGTGCTGACGAGTGTCGACACGTGATGTGCAAACCGGCAGCGCCACTACCAGGATATAGCGTGGCTGGACACCAGGGAGCGTCACCAGAGGCGACCAAGCCGCATCATAGCTGTGTTTGGCGCGCACAATCACGTCTCTTCGACGAGTGTGCTTGCCAAGAGCTGCATTGACTCCTTGCTATTCTAATGTCAGCGCGGCTCCTCGTCGCTGCAGCACGCGTCTTCTTCATCTTCGTATCACCGCCATGCTCGATGATAGACTTCATCGCTATGGCTGCTGCCATGCTCCAAGATGTTGTCGTTCGGCACTTTCTTGTTGCAGCACGAGCACGATTCGGCATAGATCAGCTTCCATAATGACACGTTCCCGACTTACATTCGTGAGCAGACCAAAGCGATAGTTCCCGTCCATTCAAAACAACCCGTCCATTCGACCACAATCCACCACATGTTGTAAGCAATTACTTTGCACAAAACTTGATCCTTCCGACCGCAAAATGCGCTGCAATGTATCACAGGCTCCACAATCGGTAGTAGTAGAACTCTTCGTCTGCGGTGTCATAGTAACTGATCCGACCGCTGCCGTCGGGCTCGGAGCTGGCGAAGTGCTCCTTCAAAACTAACTTGACGTTTCTGCCACGTTCTCGTTGCGTGATTGTCAGTCGGAAGTTGACCTCATTGCAGTTTGTAGGCACCGTCACCATCAGCTCATTCTTATCGACGTAAAATGTTCCGCTGTAGACGCCCTTGCGTCTGTCACGAATGTGCGCCTCGGCATCGTGTGGAGCTTTGAACAGCATACCATACAACACTGTGCCATCTCGCTGGAACGAGAAGTAGCGGTAGTATACACACTTCAAGATCGTGCCAGGCACGACACCTGTCCACATGCTCAGCTCCGGCTTCTTGTAGTACGATACCTTGAGCCAATAGAATCCGTTATAACGTACTCGCGGTCGATCGTGAAACATGCCATACCACGTCGGAAAACGACGCAGCCCAAACTTGTTGCGAGCGACTGCCACAGCGGCTCTCGGGTTCTGCACAGGATAGATACGTCGGCACAATGCCTCAAAGAGAATTTCCGACCGGCTTACGTGCAGCATTCGTTTGCACGTGCAAGCGCAGATGCCAATGGCATCTTCGTCCAGCCACTTGAAAATGTCAATGAGCAAAATGTCAGCAACGTTCAGCATCGTGTGGTGTTCATTCGGGTCTTCTTCTGTCTCCTCCTCCTCCTCGTCTTGCAAGCTTTCTCCTGCTACTGTAGCTCTTGACTCGTGACCAAAAAACCCTTGGCCATCTTCATCGTCTTCACCGCTCTCTCCATCTCCTTTTTCTTCTGCTTCTTCTTCTTCGTTTTCTCCTTCTTCGTTGTTTTTTCTATCTTTTATTTGCTGTCGCTGCTCGCATTCTTGTCCGTGTAATGCCGTTCGAAGCTGCACATGACCGCCTTGTAGATTGCTGACGACTTGACGGCGAGTTTGATCTTCCGAGCGCAAGATCTCAGCCATAAAATCTCGACTACAGAAAAACAGACAGAGGAGTCGAACAATTCCGCACGTTAGGTAGACACAGTTTTTGATCGATACCACGCGCGATCTCAAGCGAATACATTACGCGAGTGATTCCTGCAGTGCCGCTTCCAGTGCCTCCTCATCTGCATCGCGGCGGTCTGCGCCCTGGACGATCGCAGTGGCCGCGTGACCACTGGGCGGTGCCATGTGCTTTGTGGAATTTGATCAAGACTGCGAGGTATCCGAAAGATGATAGCGAGTTCGACAGGGTCACCACATCATGGGTACACGTCGCCACATTAGGGGTACAGTATGGTCGCGAGACCACATGCCCGGGTCTAACATGAGTCAGTACATTCTTTCTGCATCAGGTGTGGTACGTAACTGCTGCTGCGACGGTATGTTGAAGTTGCAGTGCTAATGAGACCTTGCTACGTCTTGCTGTTGTTGTTGTTGTTTATAGCAGGAACTGCACTTGGCTCGCATCTTCTCGCGTGAGACGCAAAATGTGTTGCTTGGGTGGCTCGTCCAGATTGCTCCGGCTTTCATGGTCGCGAGACTGCTCGGTGCGTGTGAGAAAGTGGAAGCGGCATGTCTGGATGATCTGCTTGAGGCCAGCACTTGCTCCACCCATGGATGCTGGCGCCCCACTATGCGGACCCTCTTTGACTGCCGTCAGAGTGTGCTCTTTCAGGCAAGACTGATGCATCTTGAGCATGCCACCAAACAGACCAGCGTTGCCACTATTCCACCATCGGACACTGCCATCTCGAGCTGCGTACGAAACCAGAACACGTCCGTCGGATCGAAAGCGGACGGCCGAGACAGCGGAAGCGTGACCATCCAAAACACGCCACTTGGTGGCCGTGCGGAGATCGTAAATGACAATCACGGCTTCCATTGTACCCAAAGCCAAACGCTGCGTCTCCTTGTGAAAGTCGACCATTGGAAATCGTTGCACAAGGCTATGCAGGCAGCGGGTGCTCAACGAGAGACAGCGACGGCGGCGATCGGGCTTTGTTGGGTCTAGACACGCCATCACAGTGCTTATAAGAGCCGGCAGGTGCCGACACATGAGCAGGTAGTGGGCGTTGACAAGCTCCATCATGCACAGTAGAATACTCTCGTGGAAGCCTGGTGGGCGATCTAGATTGCACATTTCCTGCTGCAGTAGTCCGAGCACGAAAGCTGACTCGTACGCGCCAACTTCCACCAATAAACTCATCGCCGCATTGCTTCCACCAGTTCCTCCTTCGTGAAAGTTGGTAAGAGATCCACCAGGTGCAGAAGGTGTAGCTTTGCCACCATTTCGCTGTGCCCCATACTGCTTTTCGCGCAAGTCAATCAACAGAAGCTGGACGATGAGCGAAGACAAGTCGACAAGATACGGCCTGAACAGCATCAGTCCTTTTGTAAGCAGCTCTGATGACACGGACGCCACGAATCGTTCCGGTGCTTGTAGTAGATAAATCAGTATGCTACAGACTTCATGCGCGCAAGCCGGAGAGATTTCGCCAGGAAAACACGTGCCGATCATACTCATGAGGAGCACATGTGGACCCAGTCGTTCAACTACTAACGAAGACGCCACTACTCGTACGTTAGAGCGTGCAATAGCACTGTTGCTATTTCCACTTGGGGCACGATTATGGGTAGACTGGGAAGTCGAATTCGCATTGCCACAGGTTCCTGTCCCGTCCGACGCATCCGCAAAAGAATTGCCCGTCTTCATCTCCAAACGGACCATCTCCCAATGGAGTTTGGCCGAATACTCTGCTGACAATATACTGCGCTCTGATGAAGGGAGACGCTTGATCACATTGCTCAACAATGTACGTGCCGCTAACTGCGTATACTCACAGGGGTCAAAGCCGAAGGATGCAAGCTCTTCAAGGGCTGGCTCGCGAAATTGTGCGATACATTCTGGTAGCACAACCGAGTACTGCGTGATGAGCTGACTCCACAAAACTTGAAACTCTTCCTTGTTCACGGAATACATGCTAAGGTTGCCAGACTTTGGATGCTCAAAATCCATTGCGCTCATACACAGCGATACAACACCCAATGCGATGCTAGCTGACAGCGCCGATGAGTGCTGCCAGTTTCGTGCAAAAGCAGGCATAACATCGGGTATTGCAAGCTCGAGCCCGGCACATATCGGAGATTCGCTCTCAACAAAAGATGATCTCATTGGCGTTGACCATGGAACAGGTATCGTGAGTGCTCTAGAAGCGAAGCCCTGCAGCGCACAAGAGTAGAGTGCGCGGGCTGGTTTGATACCCAAGATGTCGCGACACGACTGATCAATCGTAGGAGTGATACCCCACGATAGTAGCAACGAGAGCATGAACAATTCCATGGAGCCAGTTGCGTACACGGAAGCTTGTGAAGATTGAAGGCCGGTCTCACTGCACTTACCCGCTGTGCTATTGCTTTGGATATGTGCCAAATAGTAACTTGTCCAATTTCGTTTCAGTTGCTCGGAGCTTCGGAGAACGCTCAAAGCGATAAGTTGCACGGCTGTGTTGCCAATAGATAAGGTCGAACATTCGTCGATGGAGCAATCAATGCTACCAGCTTTGTCTTCTGCGTCGAGCAAGTTGCTGCCACCACCATAGACCAGCGCGCACGGAATCGTACGCTCCAAAATGCCAGTATCTGTGCTCCAAACGTACACCATCTGATCTTCGCATTCGACGTAAAGCAAACCACGCTCTAGATGCCAATCTAGACCACGTATACTGTCAGCATGCTCTGAAAGTTGTAGCACGCACTTCCACTCTACACCGAAGCGATCGCCAGTACGTTTTGTCTGCATATTTCGGGCTTCTGATTGTCGAGACGATGAACTCCGCAAGTACTGAAGCTTGTAAACAACTACTTTGCAATCTTCTCCCACCGTTGCAACCCATCGATCAGGGTGCTCTGCATCCTGATTTCCCCCATTACATCCGGTGTTGCTCATCGTTAGCGGTGCGATACGAATCTGCTGGATCGCGCTGCGGTGATTGTGAAATGTTTGCAGCGTCCTTGCTGCATGCCGAAAGGACCCGCCTGCCTTATCATTTATAGCCGGGTGATACAAGAGGAGCTCAATTACACGTAAGACACCATCTGAACCTCCACTAAAGAGCACAAACTTGAGTGAACGATGGCTGCTTGTAGCATCGGAGAACAATTCATCAATTGAACCTCTACCGCCTAAAGCTTTCGCTTCCAATGAGCTTTGATAGCTACTGCCAAGCACACCTTGTTTCGTTTCGAAATTGCTTGCTGGAGCGAGATTGCAAAAGCGCGGAGGGTAAAAAGGGTTTTGCGCCGTTTCAAAATATGTCTCTTTCAGTAGATCTGTACTTGTATGACCATCAGAATAGGCTTTCGACGACAAAGTTGCGGTGGACTGAAGTCCCATGCAGTAATGCGCCAATGCAGTCACTCTCCCGGGATGGCATTGCAGTCGTGTTGCCGAGTCTTTCGTCAAGCCATCGCCTTCACTTGACATGTGCTCTTGGCTCAACAATTCGATATCAAGCGTTCCATCCATAAAACCCTTGACAATAACAGGAACGTCTAGCAAATATCGATTGTCCGAACATCCAAGCCTCTCTTGGTCGAGTTTGTCGACTTCCAGCTGATCGAACTCACTCTCAGCACCATGACGTCCATCTCGTGGTGCAACTGGTGCTGTGGCATTGGCTGCCGCCGGGTTTGTGGTTGGCAGTTCTGCTGAATGTAGATTTGTACCATTAGTTCTTTGTTGATGTCCGTGTTGTCTCCCAGTTCGCCAAACTGCATCAAACGTTGAGGACGACTGTGTCTCTTCCCTCCCAATTATAAAGTGTGTCAAGCAACATCGACGCGGAGATGTACACCATACTTTCGCATCAACAATGTCGCCACGAGCAGCTTTTTCCGCTGCCTCAAATCCATCCATGAGTGAATAAAATCGTGTTTCTTTTGCCTGTGACATACGTGCTTTGACCACGCTATCGCCATATTGAGGCACGGGCGTCAGTGACGGAAGTCGTGCCGCTGGCATTGTCCAGCATCCCACTGTTCCCCGGTAGCACGTGTGCACAACTTGCAACGTCGACTTTGAACCTGGTAAGGTAGATTCAATGCATGATGTACGTCCCGAACGCCGTCGTCCTTCTGCAAGCCAAGCATTTCGGAGTTTCCGTCTTGTTTGTGAGCGATTGTTCTCGTGCAACGGTATATTACAGCATCTACAGCGACCCATCGAAGTGACGTATGTGCCCTTTTCAATGATGCCTAGTTCTTTCGACTCGCACCGTGGAACCAACCGATCGTGGTCTTTCGTAAAAATGAAGAACTTTCCAGCAGGGTCAATTGATGATTCTGCTGGCATAAATCGAAATACTTGGCCGGCATTTGTCCACAAAACGATGCTGCCATCTTCTAAAAACTTGCCATCTTCCCAATAGATACTTTCACTATCACTGCCATCACCGCACGGCTCAGAAATGTCACTCCCATGGATAGCAGCTGCTTGGCGTACGAACTCTGCCGGAGTTACGCGACAGCTGCCTACCCCGGCAGTTCTAGACATTTTATCTTGTCCACTATGTGCTTGGACATCACTGCGTGCTTCTAGCGGGCATAACCACTTGCGCTTGAGTACAGCAAACTTGGTCTGCCAAATGAGAAGTACGAAAGATGAATCTGAAGACACCTGCACAGAAAGCGGGAAGTAGCTGTTCTTAATTGAGCCCATCAAAGCAGTCTGTGGGTTCAGGTTGTCCCCGTCCTTCAGAGACGTGCTCTGCGAACACGTGACGTCCTCTGCCTGATCAGCCCACGATATGACCCAGCTGCTGCGCTGTACCCACCAGGATCCCCGCGTATTGTCCGCGGACACGTTACTACCAGTGACGCTAGAAAACGTGCCACTTATCGATCCCCTTGGTTGTGTCCACAAAAAACATTTAACAAGTCCCTCAGCACCCAGTGATAGCACCACTGCATCCCACCGTTGATTCTGCCGCGCTGCTGTTGCACTCTTCGTAGAAAAAAGCGTATCGATACCGCCAGCAGGAGACGATCGAGACGGCGATATCCGTTGTCCTTCCGCTGAGCGATTGACCGCTTGATCCGCACTTTCGTCTCTGCTATTCGTCTCAACGTTCGACTCATTTGTCGATATGATGACCCTTTTCTGCGTCGACTTCGGTCTTGACATGGACAACTCTCCCACAGCAACACTCCGTCGAATTTGCTCTTGCGCCGTGTCCACACAGTGCATCAGCTGCATCCTCCATGTGTCCAGCACCATGAGCCTTGACACCTCACTCACGACAAGCGCAAATCGTTGGTTGCACAGCATCTCGAGTCCCAGCAGCGGCGACAGCTCTTTCGCCAGCGAAGCGTTAGCTTCTGCACAGGCTCCATTAGGCAGCTGCCATCTCGCCATTTCGCCGTCTCTCGTCGCAGATATCAGCACGCTTTGTCCCCATTCATCGATACCACTGACCAGGCCCACAATAGGGTATCTCCTTCTTCCAGTGCCTGGAAACACGAGAACATTAACCTGTGCTACTTCGTCCTGCTCGAATCTCCAGTACAGAATAATGCCATCCAATGTGCCGGCAAAGACGCACAGCTGATAACCGCGAGCACCCACTTGCTTCTCTACACCAATAGAGCGCTTTCCGCTGTCTTCATTAACCACAAACGACGAGTTCTGACTTGGTTGAGACACTGGAAGGTGGAAGACGTGTAAAGAAGATACTTCCACTTGCGGCGGTTGATTCCAGCGTACAATAGGGACAACGACGTCTTTTTTCTTCACATTGTGCTGGGTATGGACGTGCCTAGAGTCGATAAACGTCTTCCAGGAGGTCTTTTTCCGCACCATTCGACGGTTTTTCGTGAAAGCCTGCAATATAACTAGTTTACGACGTCAAATATGAGCATTAGAGAGTGGACATCAATGCAATCGATACAGAAAATACGTACGTTGTAGAAGAGGTGCGTACACTGCACTAAAAGCGAGTACGAACGGCGCTAGTAGCGACAACGCGGCCCTCCTTGCGAGACACTTGAAGCGATGCAAGTCGCTCTTTGCAAAATGAACGCACTTTTGTGGATGTTATATTATCCTTTTCCGGATTATAGCCGCAGGACAGTTCAAAATCAGATAATGTCGTTTTCTGCTTACCGGGTATATCTTTAATCCATTTATGTCCTTTTGGCTAGGACGGGGATCGATACTACTTGTTCTTGACATGTGACGGTGCAACCAGGAAGATGTACACATTCTCGGCGGACGAGGTCTTGAGTAGGCCAGGACGGAGCTTGGCGCGTTTCTTTGTAATGATCAAATGGCGGAGGTCATCCACCTGCACAACACAACGCATAATAGCCAACAAAAACAACAACAATATGTGAGCAATGACGACATGATATGCCTTGACAAGTATCGAGGACTTACGATACTCGGGTTGAGATTGAAGTAATTGTGTCGAATCGCATGCACGTTGTTGTCCATCCAAGTCGTGTCAATCACGTCCATGTCCAGATAGTGGCGTGGCGCATTCTCTTCATTCACACCGTAAGGTGCGCACTTGTCGCCAGTTGGGTGTGTCCGTCGACGGTTGTAAGCGAACGAAGCCACACCAGGATAGCCTGCACGTTGGTTCACTGCAGCAACAGCGAGGTCCAAATCTTGCGGTGCAGCCAAATGCTTGTTCTGCCAGTCCAAGAACTGCGTGTCCAATCGTCCAACATCTCCGTCGTCGTCCAGGTCGCGATGGATCATGTGTCCACGCCGGCCCAACGAGTAATTGACCGGTCCGGCGATCGAGGTCTTGGACAGATACTCCAAGTAAAACAGAGCGCCATCCAAGCTATCTGCGTACAGCGTTATGTGGCTGCAAAACTGACGCGCACGATCATACCCTCCACCGTATCTCACAAAGCCGTTGCGGTCGTAATCTGGGTTGCAAAAAATGAGCGTCGACAGCTCCATCTTTCGTCTCGTGGAGTCAACCGTGTTCGCGACATTTCCAGTAGCCTGCCAAGTAAAAGATCGGTCAGCACAATCAAGCTAGAATATATGCATGGCGTTTTGCGAGCCAATGCTTGTCAAGCGTACCAGAAAAACCTCGTGAAATCGATCTCTGTTGAGCGACCCGAAGAAAACGCGCGCCCCCATGGAGTGTGCGATGATGTTCAGCTTTGTGTAGCCGGCTTCAATCAGATTCTTCAAAAACGAGATGAAGTCATCGGATGTGCGCTCACTTTCGCTACCAACGTCCTTCGCTGCACAAATGAACAAAGTGCGGGGTCAGCAAACCAGCTGATGCGTTTTCATAAAAAGTGCAAACACGCGCTCACCCTGGAAGTAAGCAAGCACACCTCCGCTGGGCCAGCTAAACACAAAGGGATGAATACACGAAGGAAAGTCACCAAGCGCGAGGAGCTGCGCAAGACGATTCATACCGTAGTCCAGAGAGCAGTTGTATCCGTGGAGCAAAACCAGCGCTTCTTTGTCACCGTCGTCATTGATGTTACCAAGAGTGTCAAGCACAGGCGCAGACCCTTCTCGAAACAAACGCCTTCCCGTGACTCGATCCCGATGCGACTGCCTTTGTAACGTCGCTCCATCACCAGCGTGACTGAATACAACAGCGTCTGTCGGGGTTCGCAGCACAGGAAGACAGTCTGCCGCACTCTGCGGAGAGTCGTCTACGTACGACGGCGTCAAATGCGTCACCGTAGGCAAGTATTTGAAGAACCCGCCCGACACAGAGCATTCGACGCTTGCCACACCCCAGTTCAGACCAGTCTCCGAGTGCTTGGGGAAAAAGAAAATGTCCGTAGGTCTCTTCTCAGCTCGGTTATGGCAAAAACCGATACGAATGTTGACAAACGAGTAGCCACTTCCATGCTCGAAACTGCGGAAGGGGCCAATCGGGACACCATTCTCCCATTGCCCTGTCAATTTCTCCCCGTGGTACCCCGTGTCCGTCCACATACCGTATCCGTGCGGCTGGCCTTCTGCGTCAAGTCCTCCACAATATTTTATCAAATGGCGCTCCCGTGTGTAAAAGCGCGCTTTGGAGCGGTATGTCAACGTGTTGGTATCGAGACCGGGCTTGACGTTCCACCAGTCTTGGAGATCAATTTTCTGACGAAGTACGATCCATGGATACACATAATGCGTAAAGTAGTACGCGAGCACCGTGATGGCCTCGACTGCAACAAGAGCATAGGCCGTGATATGATGCACTTTTCGATCCGTGTCCGTCACAGTGTCGTCATTGATCCAGAATAGTATGTAGAAATTGTCGGTCATCGCATAGGTCAGCAGTTCCGCGATAATGATCCAGTAAATGATCCACCGCACGATCAGCGCGAGCTGGACGAGAATGTACAGACCCAGTGCAAGTACTACGGAGTAAAAAATACTGTCCGACAGCGACGTCCGTTTTCCACTTGGTGCTGCAACGACAAAGTAGCGTCAATGACGTCACCGCCCACAACGTATGTACACTTGAGAGCTGTGACAACAAGAACTGACTCACACTACAACGTACTTGTTCGATTGGCTGCAAGTGCTGCAAGCACGACAACAACGTAAATAAGAACGAGCCACGTGACCAGTTGCGTCATAAGCGAGTACTTGCGATACACGCCTCGATACCGTCGTTGGAGTCGCCGTCCACTCATAAACCCAAACGACCTATCAGTAGCAGCAGAACAATATGAGCAATGGTGCAGACCCTTATTGTATGAGATCCTGAAGCACGAGACGGCTTCATGTTCACATCGGTAATCACAAAAAAGCGCAAAAAGGATGTACCGATAAAGATTAAACTGCTCCAGTCCGTCCTGCGCATCAGAAATGAGCGAAAGTGGCGCTTCTTCCTCTTCTTTTTCTTCGTCTTCTTCTTCGTCGTTGTGCGCAGAAAGCCGTGAGTCGTCAAAGCTGCTGTCGAGCAACACTTCATTGGCCATCAGACTGGCGTCCATACCGCAGTTGTGTAGAAAGCAGCGAGCTCGTCTATGATATGCTGGCAGAGGTCAGTGATTGCTACGCACTGCGAATGGCTATTTTCGTGTTTTTACCTCGGAGTTGCGCTCCGGGCAACGCAAGAAGTGGATAAAACACGTTATGTTGCTGGGCTGAACCAAAATGTGAACCTGACTTCTCGTTTAGCGAAAGCAATCGAGAATTAGTGAAGACTGAACAGAAGCGCTCATCCATTCTCAGTCGCTCCATTTTCTGTAAAGCCATTGAAAATGTTGACACAGCAATATGTTACCTACCCGTAACTTTGATCGGCAGAGGAGGAGCGATTGCAGCACAGTGTTCGGTCGTCGAAGATATCTGAAGACGAATATGGCACAACGAACGAATGTGGATCTGCCTGTTTGTAATCATCGACGTCGTTCGTTAAGCAGCCACTCACCCCGTCCTGATGTGTAAAGAGTCGCTGTCCGTCATTCCGCGGCACCTGTAATCATTCTGGTTTGCATCACCTCTGATAACGTCCATTTGTCATACGCATCTAGTATCGATCTTACACGTCGTGCGAAGTATATTAGACTAACGTGTCTGTCGATCGGGTCACAGCTTCGTCCTTTTCAACGACGTCGTTCCCAATCCGAAATGTAAGCGCAACCTGGCCAAGATTCACCATTTCCACGCCTTCGTCGGTGTCCGCGACTTTGCAACCGATCTTCTATGCCTGCTGTATGAGGTAAGTCGAAGGTCTTGGCTGAATCAGCAAAAGGGCGTAATAGACTCGGACAAATGTGATTTTGCTAGTCTCACTTTCAACGTGCGTCTCGAGAAAGACCCTAACAACTCAGATACATGCAACATAACTTCTCTCGGGAAGTGAGCTCATTACTATCGATGCATTCCACTGCATCATAAAGTAGTATCACATCTCTAGCGAGTTGACGACTTGCTCTGGCGTCCAGCATCCATATGATCGGTCAGACGCGGTGAGAGCAGCGCGTACCGTCGCAGTTGTTTCCATATACACAGAATCCTGTGCGAAGCGCTTGTTCTTGGTCAATTACACTGCGAGCTTCTTTGCCTTGAATGAATCCGGTCACTCTCGCTTGGTGGCATGTCCATTCGCACCGCCGCTTTGACAGTTTTGCTGTTCGATAACAGCTGCTGCACCAACATCGCGACCTACATTCCTACCGTTTTGGTCATCCTCGATCACTGGATCATATGCATTAATTCGTCCTTGTGTGCGACATGTTCGAGACAGCTTCCATCGATCTGAAATATTACCATCGAGTGAGGTTCCGATCGGCGTCATGTAAATTGACCCGCCATTTGACCTTTTCATCCAGCGAAACTCACCGAAAGAAAATCTGGATTCATATGGTATCATAAATGATCGTGAATATTGCGACAAATCTTTCGATGTATGATCAAGGCATCATAAGTGCTCTCGGACTCACATCAATCCAACTCTTAGCGATTCTTTAGGATGAACAAGATCCTAAGTGTAACTATGCCATTCAAACCTTGTTTGTATCGACTCGTGGTGGCCAATTTTAGTCTACAAGTTCGTCGTCATTCTGATTACGTACGACCAGTGTTTGTCATCATTCTGATTACGTACGACCCCATTTGATTTTTCCTTAATAGACTCGAGGGGTCCCACACCAAAGCCAGCTGCATCTCGAGAAGGCACTCGCAACTTCTGCGTCATGTCCGCAATACTGAAAGACTGGTGGCTAAAATTCTTGTCAGATTTGCGGTACCTTTCTACGGCTATAGTTAGTCATATACATCTGCTACATTTTATCTTGCCCTCTGTAGACGCATCGCCGCACATAGTCAGCGATAATTCTGACAGCAGTACAAAAGTTTTACCTATTACAACTTTTATAGTATATAACAACTTTCGTACGACAGTTCGTAAAAAAACTAATCTTCAAGTTGCTCGGATTCAATTCACGTTTCTCCCAGCTACCTCGTGTTGACGGCTTTGCTTTCATCGCCCAAGATGCATAATAGTATTTTGGAGTATTACAAAGGAAAAATGGAAAGCAAGCACTAAGCATCTAAAAAGGCATGCTTAGTGTTGTCGTTGACGGGAAATGCAAAGCTAGGTTTCCTTTCATATTCAATTGCATATGTTAACGGTTTAAATCACCACATCTGACCTTCCAATCTACACATAAACAGTCAGTAATACCAACGTGTAAATGCACACAAGACGTCAACTCAGTGCGTCGTATCATACCACAATGTATTGTAGATAGCGCAAGTATTGTATACATCGCAAAGTCTTACCTGAAAAACCTTAGTGAGAATCGTACTCATATCTAACGCCGGGGTACGCCAGAAATATAGTTGCCAAAGCTGCTATTTTATCTTCGATATGGATCAAACTGCATGTGTTGATTATAGTGAATAGGGGTAGTTACCAGTTCCGAAACAAGACCAGGTGACTTCGTTGCCAAACAGAACAATTTTTGGTTGGTAGTCAAAGACAAGGTGAAGACACAAGCGGGCCATTTCGTGAATGCAGGCTCAGCCGTATCATCATGCTGTGAGGCATGAAGGTCAATCATATTGGATTCACCTCTTCGACTTGACAAGCGTCCTTACAATCAGTATCACTTGTTGGTCCTTGTCGTCTCCCCCTCGTTCGTCTTGGTGTCGATTCAATGGTTATAAATGGCGCTGTCTCCTCTCTAGAACGTTTCGCTTGATGGTCGAACCCACGTATCGGTGTATTACATTGATAGCCAATACTAGCCTCCGAGCTTGTTTATGACAAAGGATTATGTTTTGGGAAAGCGTCGATGTCATTCAAAGCAAAAGCAACGGCTCATCAAGCTAATCACTTCAGTGAAACTTTTAAATCGACAACATATTCAAACAGGCCAAGCGCACAAATGCAACGACCCGCATTCAAAAGTGTATTGATTAGGGAAGGTATTAAGTTCAACAAATACTTCCAATTCTACGCACCAACAACTTTTTGTCAGAATCAACAGCACAATGTGATCACGAGATGTGCTTTCAGAAGAAGGAGTTTCATGGTCATCTATTTAAATTTATGTTGTGCAAGATGTCTGAAAAGTCCTGAACCAAGCTGTGAGCGCCGAATGTGGCAACGTATCGTGGCGGAGATCCGCGGGAGGCGGGTGCCCGCGTGGATCTTAATTGACCAATGCAATACACGCGCAAAGACGGGATCCGAAACTGCCGTAGCCGCGGAGCGATGTTCGCGAATCGCTACGGCTTTGAGCTAGCGAAGACTGAATACCCAAAATTTGGATGATATTAATGCAGTGGATAACAGTTTTCCCAAGAACACCGCCGCATGATGCTCTGACGATATGTGAGCTTGGAAAATGTAACCTAACATGAACCAAATGCGTTTGAACTCCGTTTCTGCGATCATGAAATCCTCCTGAAAATGTTTCTGTAGCCGTTATGGTAGGCGGTTTGGAGCCGGAGGAGCTTGGCAATTTTCACAGTGGCGCAAGTGGTTTGTATCCACCTGAGCCATCTCAGTCTCAACTGTCCAGTGGCGTATCAATTGTTGCCAGCATGCATAAGATGAGGACGTTCCCATAAATGTGTTGTGATGTCTCTTTGCACCCCGCACATTGCGATAACTTCATTCAACAATTATTCACGGCCCGATTAGTGTAGTACAGGGTGAGATGCTTGGTTGCGACATGATATCAAGTCCACACTTGATACTCAGAAAGTCCACTAGCGTGATTACACATATGAGATATCTGTTGCTTTGCCGCAGCAATTTGCCAACAATCGGGGCGGGCCCCAAAGTAAAACGATCGAGCCAAGCATTCGCTTATGCAGCGTGAATGACTGACGTATAAGCGACTTATATATATGTGCATTGTAGATAGTCTAAGGCAAATTCCGACCATACCGATGAAGCAGTGGATGAGCTAGAAATACCCGTCCCCTGCGTAGTTTGATTTCCCAGCGATTTGACTCGCACTCGGTAGATCAGTTAAATTCCGGTAGACCACCGTGCAGATACCAATGTAAACCATTGAAACCTTGATGAAGCCGAATCGCGGATGCATCATGTGGAGTGATGTCTAGAGTGTTCCAACAAGTAGATTTGTGCTCACGCGCGTCCACTGATGCCTGTACCGAAGTGGCGGTGGATGGCGTTAGAAAATCTTTGGTTCTAGAAAACCCGTTTTAATGGGGATACAATGAGACGCGATCAGGAGCGTGATAGCCTATTTACGTAAATTCGGGTGCATTTTCCTCGGGGGTTATGCGCTTTAGTCCGGAAAGGTTTGGACAAACTTATTAGGCCCGGTCCGTTGTACCTGAAGCTCGCATATTGGGCAGGACAGGATCCCGTCGAATCGGGATCGTGCAAGTCGCTTTCCCGTATAGTCCAGAATCCAGGGGTTGTCGTGCCAGTAGAAACGGCTTTATAGATTAGTAGAATCCTGTGCCGACAATAAGCGGCTACGAGAGGGTCGGAGGAAGCGTGGTGGTATGATATAACCCACTCCTGACCTTCCCACCAACGGATGGCCCCATCTAACAGGCGTACATAACGCGCTGTTGACCGGGCTCGTAAAACCAAATCTTGGTCGGGCGTAGGCGATAAAAGTAATTAAGTTCGAGCACCAGTTGACCAAGCAATGGACGTCGGACCTCAAATGCCTCAGCATGATTATCAGGATACAGCGCAGCGGGTAATACAGATAAAGAACCGGTTGCACGATAGTTTAAGGTTCTCCCGGCAAAACACCTACTTGTATGCTGCTTGCGTAAGCCACATGAGCGCATGTTTGGTAAGCTGCGTTTTAATATCTACTTCGAAGGATGCTAGACCGACTCAACATTCTTGTTCCAATGTTACGAGAAGACCCGGATCGACCTTGTGACGTCTTACATCGGTGCCCGTAGCATGGGACCATAATAATATCGTGTACAACTTCGTCAATCTATCTGCGCCCAAATCGTAACTTCAAAAAGCCGCGGTAAA